CCCCAAACATTTAAAAAAAAAACTCTCTTTTCCCCCTTTTAAGCGCCGACAGTGCTCTAATTGCTTCTTATTGCATCCTTGTTAGTAGGTTCTTGAGTGTCATCAATAGTGACTTGATATGCACGACCTCCTTGTTTAGATTTTGATTTCTAATTTGCGGGTTTTCCATAAAGCTTTTTAACATGTCTCTTTCGTATGACATGATTTTTTGCAATACTCGCTCCACGGGATGGGCAGATTGTCCTTTAAATTACTGGAACCAATAGAAACAGTAGACTTTTTTTGGATGCCAGTCCTTGCCGACTTGTACGACATCATGAGAAAACGTGCTAGTAGTGGCTACAATCTTTAGCTCAGAGATGGTGAATAAAGGCGGCTTTGATCAACCTAATGTGAAGGAGAGCCCACAAACACTTGCTTTGATTGCTAGTTCTGTCACGATGAAAAACAAACAAGAGCAATGCACAAGATGCATATGCTTATAAAAGATTGACCCTGGTTCGGTCCTTGCAAAGAACTTTGGGTAATTTCAGTCACTATTTTAATAGTGTTTTTGGGCTTGTGATAAAGTAGATTCGAAGCCTTGATGGCTAAACAATGAGGAGGTTGCGACGTGACGAAGTCGTTCAGAACCCTCGACTAAACCGATACAGACCCCTTGACACGGGAGAAGGCTGTGACGGGGATCTTGTTTTATCTTCATCCTTTTTTTTAGGACTTCAACCAAAAAATACACCTCGAAAACAGACGATAATATCGATTTTGTTCCTTCATAATCAAGAGCTGCAGGTGGTTTTGATCCTCGTGATATGTTTACAACGCCTCATGATTCCAGGCCTCTGAACACCATGTTCCTATCGTTGCCCTCTTAGTGGGCTCTAATCGTGACTTTATCATGAGGGATGAGCGCCACGATCATTCGTTTCCTTCCCAACGGGCTTTAATCACAACCGTATTGCTAATTGTGCAACCAGTCGTTGCTTTCCCACTGTATCATGAGGGTTGAACGCCACGATCAATCGTTGCCTTCCCATCTGGCTCTAATTGTGGTTGTATCAATAGGGATGAACACCGCAATCAATCATTGCCTTCCCAGCGGGCTCTAATCACGACTATATGGTGAGGGATTGGGCACGGGCTACGCAACATCCGACGATCTCGCCGTATTAGGTTGTTGTTCAAGAACCTTTCTCCGATACCATGTAATTTTTTTGATAGAAAAAATGATTATTTCTCTTCAAATTTTGAAGACTCGGTTACAAGATTTCTAGCAAAGGAAGACCGCCACATTAGGAAAGCCACAAAGTCCTCATGCTAGAAAAAAGAAATAGGAATTACCCATAGTAGTTAATTCTAAAAATAGAAAATATTAAAGATAGAAGATACTAAAAGAGAAAAAACCTGAAATTCCGACATACACCATACTCTAGATTCAAAATTCACCTTGGAAGATGAACCTGGGAATCCATTTTGAAAAGATAGCTGACCAACCTTGGAAGATGAAAAACTGAAAATTTTATTGTGGAGACAATCACAGCATTTATCTTGGTTCCTGAAAGGACTCTCAAATACCTCACTAAGTTTGAAGTGTACATCATCACACAAACAAACAGTCATGAGACGGGACCATTCATCGCGTTTTCTTATGAACTCTTATTTGTTTTTAAGGCAATTTGCATGAATTTTTTGTTCTGTCAAAACTGCTTTATCATTTAATAATGAAGATTGAAGTATACTTTGAATAACGGACGCTGAAATGATTAGTGACATTGAATAACGGATGTTGAAATGATTAGTGTCCATTATATGCTATGTTGATGCAGAGGTAATTTTTGCTTATTAATTGATTTAGTTCGTCATCGTGATTTATATTAATTTCAATCATTACTTAATAATTCCTTAGAACAATTGCTTCTTGTCTTGCAATTAAACTATTAAAATAAGTAGGATTCTGAAATTAACAATGGTTAATGATATCCATGAAACATTGTTGACAGTGTTAGAATAATGGATTGTCTCGAGTTTTTCTCCTTTCATAGCGTTGTTGATTGAACTTGTTACGTCTGAACATTTATTACTTGCACTTCTATTGCAAAGCTAGATATATATTTCCTTCCAGATATGGGATTTACATCTTAAAATTATAGATGGTGGTTAGTCTTGTAGGTGTTTTGGTTAGCGTGATGGGTGACATTTTTCCCGAGCTCAAACAGCATGAGGAGAAGATTAGAGATATTATTTCTGAGGAGGAAGTTAGCTTTGGAAGAACATTGTTGAAGGTAATTTTGATCAACGACGCAGCTTTTACTCTTTCTGAGAGCATTTTCATTACATGCCGCTGAAATTGAGATTTCATTTTTTGCTTCGAGTTCTTTACTTATTCAGTTGCTTCCATGGTAAATATCTTTTCACCTTATGGATGAGTATTAAAATTATGATGTACATCATCTTTAGCAAATTTATTGATTGTCAAAATACTTAATTGTCACCACAATCAGTTAAGATAGATTACATGCTACTACCTCTTGGTCTATTCTCTTTTGTTTCTTTAAGGTTTCAGGCTGAATTCTGGGGATTTGTTTGCCCTTTCAAGTTAGATTTCCTTTATATTTCATGCTGGAAACTTTTATTGAGAACTTTAATTTCATCAAAATTTACCTTGTTTGGTGAAGTATATTTACTAAAGGCTTGTTTGGGATCAATTTTGCTTTTCGTTTTTCTTTTGTTTTTGAAAACATATTTGTTTGATGTGTTTTTAATATGTTTTTATTTTCTGTTTCTAAAAATAAATTAATATGTTTTGCTCAAAACAATATTTTAGTATTTTGGGTTTTTTAAAAAACAACCATATCCTAATCAAACTTATCAAAGACGTCAAATCAAAACATAAATAAAACAGAATAAAAACACAAAATAGAAAAAAAAAACAAAAGTGATCCCAAATGGTTCCTAATTAAATACCTTGTAATGGAAGTCGTTCTAAATAAATTGTTTGATATTTTGACATTATGATGCCAAAAATTGGAATCCTTGATAGGATTTGGTTTGGGATTGGTGAATGTGCGGGATTCTTAAAATGCTTTTACTGTTTGTTCAGTACTTTGGTGGCAAAATCATTCTAAATAGTTGAATATGTAGAAATTAAATATCCTTTTGAGTGATGGTTTTCCTATTATGGATATAATTTATATTCCTAAATTTACAGGGAATAGAGAAGTTTAAGAAGGCTGCTCAGGACCTTAAGGTGGGGAATACATTGAGTGGGCAGGTAAGTATTTATGCTGTATTTATTGCTTTATTTTGTTCTACACTGCTTACATACATTTTATTTCACATAATTTATTTATTTGGTGATGCTGTGTATTTTATTTTTAATGTGCTTTCATTCTGCTCCTCATCCTAAGTTGTATTCGTGAACCTCAAACCACTAAACACCTTACATTAAATTGGTCTCATTGTTTATAATTGCATCTCCATGCCATTAAAGTTACAATAAAAAAATTATAGTTGGTGCAACTTAAACAAAGTTGGCTAAGCTATGATTCTAGACATTCACGTTATAATTATTATGAAAATCTAAATTACATTCTTACTTCAATAAGTGGCAGAAGGTTGAGGAATTATTAAGCTAGAAGCTCAAGAATTTCTATTTATTTGATCTTTAAAAAACTGGAATGTGCTAAATCTAACCCAGTTGGTTAGGTTTGTTAAAGTATTGCAAGTGAATTAAAACCTGAAGATGCTAACTTAAAACATAAATTGAGTAAAATATGTCATTTCTTGATATAGAGATCAATTGCATGAATAATATAAGCACTGTAAGAAGTTGAATATGGCAAATATGATTATTACAATAGATTTATGAGTTGTAGCTAAAAATCTTTTGCCTTGATATTATTTTGTTAACATTATTTATTTTATTAAAGGTCTTAGTAGATAATTTAGGAATGAATTCAGCTACATTTCTCCCAAAATTCTAAATTGGACTTTATTCAATTCTTTGGATGTTGAGATCTATCTTAGTTTGATGATGGGAGTTGTTTTCCCAAACCCATTTGATTTGATGTGTTCAAGTGTTCCAAATCCATGAGCCTTTCTTAGTGAATTGATGGATAAGTGTCAAGTCAAATGGATTACACACAAAAGTAGCTACGCATTCAAGCTAAAAATATTTTCAAACATACTAGATTCTACGACATTTCTAGTGTATGAAAGGAAACCTCCAAGTTTATAAGCTGAAGCGTATTAAGTAGAAGAAGTGCTTGTTCTCGATAGTCTAGGCGTAGGACTTGGATGGGTTACGGAGGTCAGACTCGACTAGCCCTAAATGTCGTCAAGTAACTGACAACCTCTTCTCTCAACAAACCATAAAAACAGTCATAGTGAAGGAACTTCTATCTTGTTAGTTTGATGACAAAAATTTTAAAATCCCAAGTCTATTTGACTCAATAAGGTCAAGTGTATCATATTATTGAGATTTTTTTTATTATTCGAATGGGCAAAGAAGAAAAAAAAATCAAAAGGAAATGATCACCACTTAAGAAAACATCAAAATAAGCTCGGTGTTCTATGCAAAGTAAGAAAGCAAGAAAGAAGAGAGGGCAAAGAAACATATTAAATTTTTTTTGTGCTATTCAAATTTAAACTTATGCTACTTCATTTTTAAATTTAAATGTAAGGACATGTATGTAATAGCTTTAATTGTATTTAAATTTAAATTCAATATTTAGGTAGTGGTGATAATTTGCGCTATATTTATGGAGAAATCATGGGCACTTGCCATCACCCAAACTGTATGACCTTAGTTTAGTATATTTAAATATGTGTACCACTTGCACGTTCAACAAAGATAAATATAAATTGTTTGTGATACAACACATGTTCGTGCTTTATGTATATTTGCACTCACAATTTTATCTATTGGTCATTAAGAAAGCCATGGGTAAGTTTGGCCTGCCTTTTAATACTGGTTGTTTTGCCTCAATGTTCATTCAGTAGATGATGATATAATGATTAAGATTATGTTTGAATGCCGTATAACCACATTGAAGTCTCAACTCCAATAGTTTCTCTCCAATCATAACTGTTTCGTTTTCACTCTGTTTGTCTCATTGTTATTTCTCACCACTGTCTCGATCAGTTTATAAACACAACACTTCCTCAGTTATGGTTTTCTGGTTAATAATAGGCATGCCAAGCTTGGCAATACATTATGAACTTACATAAGCATTGCCTCAGCTTGTGTTAAATTTTAACACAAATCCTCCATGCTGAATTCTTATTTGAAAATTTTAGTTGACTTGGCAATGTAGAAGTGTGTAGCCATTATATATATATATATTCAAAGGAATAACCGAAGGCTATTATAGCCTCGACCATCCCTCATGCACCTAAGAATTTGAGTATCACACTCTACACTCTAGGGGAATCGAACCTCAGATCAGAGGGGACTCACAACTAACAAGCAGATGCCCGACCACTTGATCTGAGTACGCAGCGCGCGCGCGCGCACACACGCGCGCACACACACACACACACAGAGAGATATATATATATATTAAGTTCATTCTGTTTCCATTGAAATAGTTTGATTTTGTAGCTAAGATGAATAATATCTGATTTTATGTTCACTATTATTACTCAAAGACAATACATTTCTTGCAGGAGGCATTTATCTTGTGGGACACTTATGGTTTCCCAGTGGATTTGACCGAGGTGATTTTGTTGTCAATTTGATTTTAAGTTTCAGGATCATTTGCCCAATCTGAATGTTTGAAATGCTCCAATAAGCTTTTTTTATTTTAGTTGATGGCTGAAGAGAGGGGCCTTACTGTGGATGTTGAGGGCTTCAATGTTGCCATGGAGGATGCCAGACAGAAAGCAAGAAATGCTCGAAGCAAGGTCATCTTCCATTTTTTATATTTGTTTATTTTATTTTGGGATCCTTCTTTTACTCATTCTTTATTTTTTCCATGGTTTATTGGACTTGTGAGTTTCCCACTTCAACAATATGTTAAAAGCTTAATATATTTAAGTCATTCTTAACCTTTATGCATAACTAATGGTGGTTTCTAACATGTTGAAAAATATGAAATGTCAAATTCATGAAGAAAACTGAGCTAATTGAGAAAATAAAATGTGGAATTTCCGTAAAATCAAACTTTTACTGAGAAGGTAGTGCAATGGCGATGAACAGAGAAACTTCTATTTGTGTAATAGTAAGCACTGTCTGTTGTCGCTACACATTACTTGTGTGGAGAGCTCTATTTTCTTTTCATAGGTAGGATGGAGTTGCAAGATTTCATTGAGAACGTGGCACAAGTATTGGCATATTTAAATGAGGCTGGATACAGGTTTTGCTTGCATCTTTATATGTTATTATTTTCAAATTTGCTATTTGTAAGCATCAGAACTCCAACCTTGGAAGTTTTCGGAGCTCTTTGTTTTGAAAAGCTTTGGAACTATGCCTCAAACTTTAAAAAAATAGTTTGTGAGTTTGGTGCTCTAGTTGTTATGCGGGCCATTTACATGATAGGAGAACAGATTTCAGCATGTACATCTTTTATACCCTCAATACTTGTATTTAAGTTCTGGAGTTTGAAATATTAATTTTTTTGTTTTTTCAATTCAAGAAAACATCGGGTGCCTATGGATGACATAAATGTTATAGTATGCTGCTTGTTACAGAAATTGTCACATCCTCTTCGGTATTTTAGTTAGTTTTGTAAATTCTTTATTACTTTGAACTATATTTTCTATTCATTTTGTTCAATATTACAGAATAGATACTATATTTAGCATTCACTGATAAACTACCTGGGATGCCATTCCAACACGTCTTCTTTTTAATGTTTATATTGATTTGGCAGGCAGTTGGTGATATAATTGCAATGGATGCTGAGGCCACATCAGAATTGCATGTAAAAGGAGTGAATCCAACTAATGATAGTCACAAGTTTGTCTGGTTCCAGGTTTGGACGCCTTGTTTTAGTACATTTTGGGCCTTATATATTTACTGTTGAATTCCATTGGAATAGGGATTGTGTTGAGTTTAGTACAAGCGAGCTGAACCTGACCTGAACTTGAAACATCAGAGCTAAACCCAGCTATAACTCGAAAAATGGTTCAATTTGAGCCAACTCAACTTAACGCCTCAATTATAAGCCAATGTAAATTTATTCTGAGCTGGCTCAAAATCATGCTTCTTCACTCCAAATGCTTATGAGTTGGGACAAATCAATTGAGTTCACACGAAATTCATACATTTAAAATGCCATGCAGGTTGAGTTTGATTGAATTTAAGAAAAATATTGTCTCACAAGTCAGTTATTACAAATAAAAAAAAATCAATACAAATGATTATAAACTTAAGGGAACATGCCTAATGAAGAAACTAGGAGGAAAAAAGGAAAAAATTAGCCTAGGGGGACAGCAATTAAAATTTTATTAACAATAGAAGTATAGAAATACAGAGAGACGGAGAAGAGTAGTGATAGCTTAAACATGGTAATGGTTAAGTCAAATACTTACTTGAATAGTATGCATTTATTACGACAATAAAAAAAAGCGGTGGCGTGGGAGTCCAATGCCCTACATGGAAACTGCCACAACTTCCTTTGCACCTGACGGGTTTAGTCCAGGCAAAGGAGGGATAGGACTGTTCTTACGGGCACGGGCTTCCCTTCTATTTAGAGTGGAGTCCACTCCTCTTTACCCTAGGTCTATATGTATATTGTTTTCGTGTTTTAGGTCAATCATGTTTCTGTCAGAAAAGCCGTTGGCGTCACCTATTTTTTCTTCTAGGGCCATATCCAATGGTGAGTGGTGCTTTGGTTATACTTGTCTGCGGTGGTGATTATCTTCCAATGGTCCAGTGGTGCTCAAATTGTATCTCACTCTCAATTTGGTACTTATATTTTACAACTCTTCTGCAATATTTTCTTCGTTGTCGCCTTCGTCGTTTTTGGGGCAAGCACCGGAAAACAATATCTTTGCTTTTTTCATGTAGTTTCCTACCACCTTGTTGCCTGTTGTTTTCCCTCCACAACTACCATTTCCTGCCATAGCGCCTGCATTCTAGCTCACGTCCACCTTACTTCTCCTTTCCAAATTGTCGTTGTCTAGCCGCCAGGAAGTCCTTTATCCTTCGGCTGCTATTTCAGCAAGCCTTCCACATCCCTACAGCAATCAACTGACTTCCACCATACCTGCAGCCCCTTCCACATCTCACTTTCCTATTTCATTGTTGTCGCTTTCCATCCTTCCGTTGGCTAACCGCAACCACCTAACTATCATCCATCCTGCACAACCCACGACAACCCTTTGGGACACATTCCTAGTTGCGTTGGCCATTTATGTTGCTGTTATTTCCATTTCAGTGTATTGGTTGTAATTACCTATTGATTTTTTAGTAATATTATCTACTTTTCTATTGCTATTTGGGTTAACTTCGGTATCAAGAGGTTTTTGTGTGAAGCATAATCTAGTTACCAATCAATTTTTTATATAATACTTTGAATTTATATTATCTCAAAAGATTTTTTTGTAGGATGGCTTGGATAAATAAAAGAAGACTTGCATGCATGAAACCGTAGATTATTGAGCACACCCTATGGTTCTCCTTTGGTTCTGCTTTTTTTACTTTTGTATTTTGCTTTTGAGAATCAAAAAGCCAGTGCCCTCAAAATCATAAAATAAAATGAAGAAAAGAGTCTTTTCGTAGTCAAAACGGTAGTGTGTGTTAGGAGTGGATGGAACATGAGAAATTGGATAACCTCAATCTCAGTTTATTACATATCCTCATGGTTTGCAACACTATCACCTCATGGTTCATGGCAGTTGCCTTTTTGTATATTAGGAGCCATATGATCTCTACAAAGGAGGTCTAAACTGTGGGTTGCGTGATGCATTGATGTTTATTGACTCATATCTGAGGAGGCAAAAAATAAAACACTATGAATTAAACCTAAAACCAAATGGACGGAAAAAAAGACCTAACCTAACCAGTAATTTAATTTGAATATTATTTTATATTTAGATTAATTATTTATTTTTATAAATTTGAATTAACTCAAATAAGGTTTTGAGCGGGCCACATTGGGTTTGTACTTAACTTGAATAGACTTGACTTGAAATGGCCTAGTGGATTTTTTCTTTGATTCAAAATTCGAGTGACTTTTGAGTTTTGATCAGTATTACCACCCCTAGGAATTGACATAATTGTGAGATATTAGCACTACATGCTCTAGAGATTTATATTTTTTATGAATTTATTATGCATTTTTATGAGTTTAAACTTGAAGAACTTAAAATTTGGGATTTTCGTGAAGAGTCTAATGCTATTTGGGTTAAAGTAATGAGTCCTAGCAAGTAAGTTGTAAAAACTATAGTTGGAGAATTTAAAAAAATCTCTTATAAATAAAAATATTTGATGGTGAAATAATATGTAAGAAAAGATAAATTATAAAAAGTTTTGTTTTAAATGTAAAAATTTAGAGAATTGAGAAAAATATAAGGTGACATGTAGGAAGTTTAAGAGAACAATTTGTGAGAGTAAGAATTCTATTTTTAATAATCTTTATAATAAATTAAATACAAAAGATGGTCAAAGATATATGTATAAATTAGCCAAATAAAGAGAAAAAAATAAAGATGTTGTTCAAGTAAAGTGTATTGAGGATGAAAATCAAAAAGTGATTTTTTTATATGAGGATATTTAACATAAGTGGGTGAGATATTTTTATAAATTTTTCAATGAATATTTTGAAAATACGGTTGACTTTACTGATATTAATATCATTACTAATAATTATAAAACTTTTTATTTTTACCACCACATTGGTAAAAAGGAAGTTGATGGGGGCTTTAAAGCAAATTTAGAGTGGAAAATCAGTAGAGTATGATGGTATCTCAATAGAAAGAATTGGAAACTTCTTGGCTTACTAAACTTTTTAATATTATTTTAAATACTAAAAAATGTTAGAAGAGTAGAGGAAGAGTATTTTGGTCCCTATTATTTAGAATAAATGGGATGCATAAGTGTGTAAATTATAGAGGAATTAAGTTAATATGTCATACATTATTATTATGAGAGAGAGTAATTGAACATAGGTTATGACGTGATGCAAAGATTTCTCAAAATTTGTTTGGATTTATGTCTGGTAAGTCTACTATGGAAGTTATACATTTATTGAGTGATTTGATGGAGAAGTACAAAGAGAGTAAGTAGGATCTGCATATGATTTTTGTTGATTTATAAAAAAACTTATGATAAGGTTCCAAGAAAAGTTCTTTGGATAGCTCTAGAAAAGAAATATGTTTATATGATTTATATTCAATTCATTGAAGATATGTATGCTAGAATTGCTACTTGTATTCGAACAAAATTATATTTGACCAATTAGTTTCCTATTTCAGTTGGATTACATTAGGTATCGGCTTTAAGCCCATATCCTTTTGCTTCAGTTATGGATCTTCTTACTGGACATTTACAAGAAGATGTACATTGGTGTATGTTTTTCGCTGATGATATCCTTTTGGATAAGACTAGAGAAAGAGTTCTAGAAAAACATTAATTATAGAGACCAACTTTAGAGTCTAAAGGCTCTCGTTTGAGTAGATTTAAAACTAAATACATGGAATGTAATTATAGTAGTAGTAGATCTAGTGGCCGGGTAGTAACAACGGGTGATCAAGTCTTTAAAAGGACAAGTCTTTAAAAGGATCAAGTCTTTAAAAGGAGTGAACGTTTTAGATATCTTAGGTCTATTGTTCAAAGTGATGGTGATATAGATGGGGATCTTATTATTAGAATTCAAGTTGGATGATTGTTTGAGTAATGCATTGGGTCTATTGTGTGATAGAAATTACCGCTAAGACTTAACGAAAAATTTTATAAGATGGTGATGAGACTTGCAATGCTTTATGGCGTAGATTGTTGACCTATAAGAGAGAAGCATAAATCTAAGTTAAGTGTTGTTGAGATGAGAATGCTTACGTGGATAAGTGGCTTTAGACTTAGAGATAAAATGTGAAACGAATATATCCGTGAAAGGGTTGGTGTAGCGCTAGCGGCAAACAATATTTGAGTCGTCTTAAATAATTTGGTCACATTAGACGTCAACCATCTAATGATCCAGTTAGGTGAGTAGATATTTTAGATTCAACTTATATTCAAAAAGTTAGAGGTGACTTAAAATCACTGGTGCATGTTGTTAAAAAAATGATCTTAATTTATTAGAATTAAATGAAAATATGACATTCAATAGGACAATGGAGAAAGATTCAGTCGACCCCACTTAGTAGTATAATGGTTTGTTTTTTTTTTTTTTTTTTGTTGTTGACTTTACTGTGCATTTTTTTACTGTACTGTCTTTATTTTTTGTAGAGACCTTCTTAACAGGTTGAACTTAGGGGTTGGATATTTTGCCTTTCCTGGTTTCTCGCTCATATCTGTATGTTCTGCCATTATGCTATCTCCTTGTCTAGGCTCTGCTAATTTCAAGTTTTTTCTTTTTGAAGGATCATGAAACTGTTATAAAGGCTATCTATAATGGATCTGAATTTGTGGAAACTGCTGTTGCTGGTTCTGATTTTGGAGTTATCCTGGAAAGCACTAGTTTCTATGCAGAATCTGGTGGCCAGGTATTGCACTATTGATTTTCTGTAGAAGTGCAATGTTTTGACTATTTTAATGCACTGATATTCAGTTTCTTTTGTTTGTTTCTTCTGAGCAAAAAATAATATGTAATATTGTTTCACAGTTGTTGAATTTATTTAATTACAATGATGTTAACGTCACCTATATATTTCTTGTGCAGTTTCCTGTGCATGGCTTGAATATTTAGTCAGAAAATTCAACCAAGGGATCATAAATTAATTATAAACACTATTAATGAAAGGTGAATTCAAATACATTATGCTATATCAGTATCACCTGAGCAAGAGAGTCAACGGAATTCTGAAGTGTCAAAATGAATCTATGGTGTCTAATGCAAATATTGAAAATCATTCAAGTAATAATTGATAGCTCAGTTAAAACAACCCCCTATCCTTGGAACCTTTTTGGCATATAAGAGAAAAACATGCTTTAGTTGTTTCTTTTTAAGGTATAATCGATTTTATCTTAGTCATAGTTCCCATGATGCTGTGCCGTGTTTATTTAAATCTTTCTTTGAGGCTTCCTATGGGCTTACATTTTTACATTTAATAATTTTGCCTACTTTTGGCAGGTCATTCTAAATTAAGAAGGTTGGTTAGGCTCAAGTTTAGGCTTGAATTTGATTTTTAGATGTACATTTAATTGTGCTTTAAATTGTTTTTGCGATGGAAGTTGTTCCGATTAATATCATATTGGATTGACCCAATTTGCCAACATCAGAAGACAATAGTTGGTATCCTTATGTAGCAATAGGTTTATGCAATTATATGGGAAAGGCATGTAATAGATGGGTTGTGAGCGTAATGCTACTTGTTGGCCATTCATTGGTATATTCTAATGGTAGAAGCCCCATTAAGCTAGACAACATATGGCTTCAAAGACAGGACAGGATACTACTTGATAGCATATAACTGTTATATAATATTTATTTTTTTATATGAGCTATACACCTACATGCTTTGAGCAAGTTTCATTGGTTAAGCTTCGTTTAATGTACTCTTTTTTCTTTTTTTTATTTCATGTGTTCTATTTTTTTTAACTAGCTCATGATGATAAGTTTCAGCTCATTCTTTGTGAGAGACTTTCCTTGGATATGAATCTTAGTCCTTATTTACTTGGAATTTAAATAAGAGCGGGACAATTATATTATTTAGCAAAATTTGATTGATTGATATCGTTGGCTGACCCATGCAATCACATTTTCAGCCTTAGGCTTGGTGAAATTTGCTTGTTAGAGAATGGATAGAGTGATAGTCAATGGAAAATGGTTGTTGCCTGCTCAATGGAGAAGCGTATAAAGTTACTATAAAGAGCTAGAGATACCGAGAAAGGGAGTCTGCAAATGGACATCATATTCATGAACAAATATTTTCTGTCAATCATCATTCCCAAGTTTAAATTTTGAAATTGACAAAGCTTAGTAACATAATTTTTGGCCCAAGTGAGGTTGATAATTGATAGGAATTTGCAATCTGTGCTAATGACTAAAAAAAAGGTCAATTTTTGGATCTTTTGAGAGAATGATGGAACACATTCCGACCATATTTTAATAGTGACTTATAGCAATCAAATTATTATATTTTTCATGGCATGGGCTGTAAGTATGAAATGTATTTTTGTCTCTTCTCATATCTCTAACCTTTTTTAGTATACAATTAAGCATTAATTCTCTTCCTATTTGCAATGAGGCGTCATAAAATTCACCTTATGAGCATCCAAACTTTTTTCAATGAAGTTCTAGAATAGACTTTAGTGGGAGAATAGCTAATTGTCTTTAGTTTGTTGCCCGACTGGCTTAAATATGGAGAGAGGGGCTGTGATTTGCATTTATTGCAGATTTTCTTTGAAATTTCTAAGTTCAATATTTTAATATGGATCATTTTGAATTTAATTTTCAACGGTGGAGTTGTTTTCTTTTTAACCATTGGCTTTTTTATGAAAGCTGCCACCGTCATCTTTTTAAAGAGGATCTCTTATATATGTTACAGCTGTTTTTCTTGGATGAAGATTGGATTTCAATATTGATGAAGGGCTCGTCGCTTTGGAGTAGAGTCTCCATGTTGAGTGACTGGCTTATAAGAAGTATAACTTCAATCTCTGTTTATATTTGAAAATTAGAATAAGAAATGAAAAGAGTAGAAAATGGGAGATTGAGATTTTATTATTGAATTTATTTCTTTTTTTATTAAAAGTATAATATGCACATCAATAGGTGTGTATAGCTATCTACAAAATAAATGAATTCAAAATCAGTACAACAACAACAACAACAACAAAGCCTTAATCCCACTACGTGGGGTCGGCTACATGAATCCTTTTTCTCCATTGCGTCCTATTTAGTGTCATATTTTCATTTAGTTCTAGTAAATTAAGATCATTTTTAATACAATAAGCCCAAGTCTTCCTAGGTCTACCTCTGCCTTTCTTAACACAAGTCGAATTTAAAACATCTACTCTCCTAATCGGATCATCTAATGGTCGACGTTTAATATGACCAAACCATTTAAGGCGACTTTCTCTAATTTTGTCTGTCACAGGAGCTACACCAACCCTATCACGAATATATTCATTCCGCATTTTGTCTCTAAGTGTAAAGCCACTCATCCACCTAATCATTCTCATCTCGGCAACACTTAACTTATTATTATGCTTCTCTTTTAAAGGCCAACATTCAGCGCCATAGAGCATTGCAGGTCTCACCACCATCTTATAAAATTTTCCTTTCAGTCTTAGCGGTACTTTTTTATCACACAAAAGGCCCGAAGCATTCCTCCACTTCAACCAACCAACTTGAATTCTACTATTAACATCTCCATCTATATCACCATCGCTTTGGACAGCGGACCCAAGATATCTAAATCGTTCACACCTTTTAATAATTTGATCACCCAAAGTCACACTTCTGTCACTAGAGCTATTACTACTAAAATTACATTCCATGTATTCAGTTTTAGTTCTACTTAAACGAAGGCCTTTAGACTCCAATGTAGACCTCCATAATTCAAGTTTTTCCTGGGCTTTTTCTCTCGTTTTAAAATTAGTTGCAAAAATCCAATACTTAAAATCAGTATTGGATTTTTTTTATCCAAAATTAGTTGCATGGTAGAAATGTACTTAAAGGTGCTAGCCACCAATTCAAGATTGTTTAAATAAAAATAATATGTATAATGCTTTTACCTTACTAAAAATGTTGTAAAAGATCTTTGGATTCCATCATTTAAGAGCTTATTTGAGCTTATTAAACTTAAACCGATGGGAAATCATCCCCATCTCTTTTACTTTAGCAAAAGTAAGAAAATCATGATATTTAACCCACATTCTAAAAAATTGCAAGGATTGGGGCTAAGTTGTGAATGAGCTGAGCATGAGCTGAGCTTGAGCGAGCTTAGGCTTGGCTTGTGTTCGACTCGTTCGAAATTGTCCGTGTTCGAAATCGGCTCGTGTTTGAAATCGACTCGTGAATAGTATGTTCATGTTCGGCTTGATTTAAATATTTATGTTCGTATTTGGCTCGAAATTGACTCGTTAAAATTAAATTGAAAAAATAGATGTAGAGTACTAGATTCAAATCTGGACCGAATGTATGCAAAGAAAACGCATAACCAGATTCCCACACGAGCAGTTACGTTTTAAACTTAGATATAAATATATATAATATATTATTATATAAATAATATATGTAATATATTATTATTTAAATAATTATATAATTTTTTCTATTTCGAGCTAAAAAGAGCCGAACACGAGCGAACAAAGAGTTGTTCGTGTTCGGCTCATTTATAATTCGAGCTTTAAAAACTTGTTCTTGTTCGACTCGTTTACTTAACGAACGAGCCGAACACGAGTTGTTCGCGAACAACAAGTTTTTTTAACAGCCCTAATTGGGACTAGAAAAATAACTTTGGAAATTTTAAGATTTATTCCAACAAATCCAATTTCTAAAAAATATCTTGATCTCATTCTGTTTTGGATGAGCAAGAATAAATGTGTCGATAAGGTCACACTCACAAGGCTTGGCCAAGACATTAAATTCATCATCTTAAAACAAGTTCATTCCTATGAAAAATGTTAGTAATATTGATATTTAGCAAAATTGAAGAGAAGATTTGCCTTTCAAAACCTTGAGAAAAGGCCTAAGCACACCAACTCAGGATTGAGATGGCGTCTTACTAAATGGGGAGCTAGTACAGAGCTTATCACTTCCGTAGAATTTGGTGAAGCACCAACCATTGCTAGAGCTCCCAAGGAAGAATATCCATCTATTGGCTTTGAGGAAATGAGAGTTCTCAAGAATAATATAACTCATGGCAAAATGAAGGCTTAGAATAACATGAAAATGTGCCCACATCAATCAATATTCATCATCCTGAGAAAACCAAGCAAGACCATAGATCAAATTTGAGAATCACTTATGGTAGAGGAACTTATTTAAAACAAAATAACAAATATCGCCTAAAGATCTATGGCGCTAGGGAGCTAGAAAACCAATTTTCATGTAAAATAAAGAATCTTTGTTGTGTAGGAATCACATAAAATATTTTTAAAGCCTATTATAGACAAATATAGGTCAAAATATATTATTTTTCATATTAAATATATTAATCTTAAATAATTAGAATATGTTATTTCATTCCCAACTCCATAGTTTGGCATTGGGAGCCCAATCGTGGAACTCTAATATTCATTTTTCTCGTTAGCTTCCAAAATGCTTAGGGTCTGTTTGGGATCATTTTTGTTTTTATTTTTTATTTTTTATTTTTATTTTGTTTTGTTTATGTTTTGATTTGAAATAAAATGTCACTAGTTGTAATGATTGTTTTTAAAAACACTAAACAAGTTGTGTGCTTTGAATTATTTTTAAAAACAATTTGATTTTATTTTAAAAATAGAATATAAAATTATGTAAAAAAGTACAATAACAAACATGTTTTTTTAAAAACAAAATTAGATAACAAAAGTGATGCTGAACAAGCCCTTAGTATTTTTGGGTTTTGCTTGTTTTCTAGGCCAAATATTCTTCAAATAGTTTGAAAGGGATACTTGAAGCACTTAGTAAGGTACAAGTCGAATTATCCTAACCGTATCTTGGATGTTTATGGTTTCGCTGCATTTGGCTGCTTCCACATATTTAAGAATATCAAGCGAAACTGATCTAGCTCTTAATACTTTTGCAACTGATAGTTTTTATCCAATGTCAATATGATTGGGATTTTAGTTCATTGATTGGTTACGCCTTTTATCAGATGATTGTTCATTTCAAGAAAATCGGAGTAGGTTTTTGTACTTATATATTAATTTGAAATAGGTTATTAAAATCAATAAATTGGCTTTAGGTTAAATCGAACGGGTAATGCTTTGGTTCTTGTTGGAAGATTTAAAGTTTGGAGCTAAGCAGGTCGGTTCAGGTTTACATGCTCATTTAGATGTAATCAAATTTGAATTAGATTGGTTGAACTCGAACCATGATTAAATGTGCTTTGCTTTAGGCCTTCACTGATTTGAATTTAAGTGATTTTGGGCATTCCCCAAAACCGTCATTGTTGCTTGAGAACTATCTTGAAAGTGTGGTCAATGGAGCATAACTTCATAATAAAAACTTGGCTTTAACAAGAAAGAAAATAATAATAATAATAATAATGACACCTTCCTGCCATATGTGTTGCTATTGTGTTATCAAAGGGTCAAAAGTTGGAGGAAAAAGGTTCATCTATGAATTTATAAATAATGTTCTGAGCTAAGAAGGATTTAGTGTAGACTTGATTGGTTTAACCTTTAGGGTTAAGGCTGCGTGATTGTATACATCAAAGATGGTTCATAATGCTCATACTAATATAGAGTGGCATGCCTAATATGTGTGTTGCCCGCTATCTCTATGTAGCAGCCCACTAAATTCCTGATAAGAAATCACCATTAGTGACTTTGTTGGACTCAAATGGGCATGTAATTCCAACAAATAGATGAAGTTTTTTCATTATGTACTCCCCATTTCCTTATTTGAGTCAAGCTGCCTACTGCTTGTGGCGAAATTACGTCCACTAAATCCATCAAATTGTTCCTTTTGATCTACTCCACATCCCTCACTTTCTTTGATATGCTGCCGATCTCTTAAATAGTATTAAAAATTGTTTAAAAATTTTCCGAAAAAAACAAATGTTTGCTGAATTATATTGCAAACAGGTCATCGCTACTCATACTTTTAGGCCCATTATCATGTGAAAGATTTATGACATTGATTCTCCTTAATCAAAAGGAGTACTTTCCTTAATGGTAATTATCAAAGCCACTAAGTCTAGTATCCATCTACAAAATTTGTTGATTCATTAGGGCGTTAATAGATATACATAAGAATGATATAAGTGTCTGTTGATATACTTGGCTGAATAAAACTGATCTTAAAAGCTATAGGGTTTACATTAAGGAAATGCATGAACAAGAACAAAAGCATTTAATGATCACAGCCCTTGGGTTTAAATCCAATTTTTACATGACTCGCTCCCACTAAAATTCATTATGTTGCATATTTTTTTAATTTTGCACATCAATCATCCTCTTTAACTCTTCTTATGCAGCCTATTTTTGATAACTGACCCCCAATTGACCTTCCTTTTGAAAGAAATCGTTTCCATAGTGGTTTAAGGGATTTTTGGATCCTGTCAGCCATTCTTGTTTGGTAGTTGACACCTCTTTTATTCCTCCATTTCTTTCTCCTTTCTTCTCCAAACTAGGGATGTGATTGAGTTGAGTTTAAGGAAGTTGTCTTCAACTTGTAGTCAAAAGTTTCGATTCAAGTTAAGACAGGTTGAGATGAAAGTTACACATTCTGAGATGACTTTGTAGTTGGTTCGAGCCAAATATTTTAATTTAAAGACAAAATCTTATATTTTATTGATATCAAAGGTATGCTTATTTATTTATATAAATATTTGTACTTAATATTAATAGCATACACCATTAATGTGCATGCGGTATACTATTTATATGTAAATTTACATAATTACATTTATTAAATATATAAATACATGCTTTTGTATGTGTGTATTTAGGTAGAAACACTTTATTGTGTACTTCCCATTCATCAAAGCAACGTCATATTTTTCTTGGGATAAACTTTGTTTAATACAAAGCAACTGTTTATATTCCCCATTCCCATTTATTATTATAAACTTCATTTAATTGTTAACACTAGCATACAGCGATTATTCTATTTGAAGCAGCCTTAATATGCATCAAGATTTAAAGAGTTAAATGTGTCCTCTTAAGCATGTATACCTGATAATAGAATTTTGTTCATGTGCTCAGTGGATCACTTCGACACTATCACTCTTATTCTTTCAAAACCCTGCTGATAATTGATTTGTACCTTTTTTTTATTAATTAAATTGCTTTATTTGCCCTTAGAAAATGTTAATTTGAGAATTGACAGCAAATGTGTAACTTCTTCAGATATATGATACTGGCTTTCTTAAAGGAAAATCTGGATCATTTCTAGTCAATAATGTTCAACCTTTTGGAGGATTTGTTCTTCATATTGGTACCTTTCCCGGAGACACTGGAGCATTTTCAGTTGGTGATAGGATAATTTGCAAGGTGAAATATGAATTAAATATTTAGGATCATACTTCTGACATTGAAATGATAAGTCATTTTTGATGATTTTCACCTCTCGGTTAAAATGATCAGGTTGATTACCAAAGGCGCGCCCTTATTGCCCCTAACCACACAGCTACGCACATGCTGAATTTTGCACTTCGGGTGGGAATTTTACTTATGACGGAGTTGTGATATATCTCATTTTTCTTCTTTCAAGTAAATTGATCACATTGATGCAGGAAGTCCTTGGCGATCATATTGATCAGAAGGGCTCTATCGTTCTTCCGGAGAAGTTGCGGTTTGATTTCTCCCATGGTGCTGATCATTTATTAATGCTCCTTTTAAGTTGCATCCAAGATGAGGGAGCTATTGTTTTACATAATGATTTTATATTAACAGGGAAACCTGTCCATCCCGAGGACTTGAGAAAAATTGAAGCCATTGTGAATCAGCAGATTAAAGATGAACTGGATGTGTATGCAAGTGAAACTAGCCTTTCTGTAGCAAAGCGAATTGCTGGACTCAGAGCTGTGTTTGGAGAAGTATGCTTTTAATCTCCTGTTATGTTTAGGACATCATTTCTGCCATTCATCTCTGCTATTTGTAGAACTATTACTGCTAATGTTCAAATTTTGTTCTTTTATAGGTCTATCCTGACCCAGTTAGGGTTGTGTCAGTTGGCCGAAAAGTAGAAGATATTGTAGCTGATCCAGAAAACAAGCAGTGGTCATCAATATCAACTGAACTATGTGGAGGTAGGTTTTAGTTTTAGCACAACTCTTTAATTTACTCTTTGTTAATGCTTGCAACGAATCAGGTACTCATATATCAAATACTCGAGAAGCCAAAGCATTTGCACTTCTTTCTGAGGAAGGAATTGCCAAGGGTGTTCGAAGGGTAGTTGCCGTGACATCTGAATGTGCTTTCAAAGCGTTAGAGTTGGCGAATTCTCTTGATTTTGAAATTGCAAGCACATTCACGTTAGAAGGAACGTCACAAGAAAAGGTATTATGAGGTTATGTTAATTTGAGAAATTTTGCACGATGAGTTCCTCTAAAAGCTGTTTCAAGTTTCAGTTCGCTAGTGTTGATAGGAAGATATTATGAGGTGTTCTTGTTGTTGAGGCACTTTTTTTTTTAGTATTCCTCGCCCATTTATTTGTTGAGAAATAGTGTAATTTGTTTATGCAATTAATATCTATTATAATCAATTGCTATTTCCGACCAAAACCATTAAAGAATATCTGTCAGAAAAAAGAATGGTTGTGCATGTGACTATTGATGTGTTGGTAGCTTTCAAAGGTGCTTTTTTGCTCTTTATTTGTGATTTTGATCTGCTCCTTTTTCCATGATTTAAAAAGTAGGTATATTTTTTTCGTAATGTGGTTTCTTCACACCTTTGATTTTTAAACTTTCCTTAGTGATATGATTGTCTGTTGAATAATAAGTGCCAGTTTACAATACTTTCTAATTCTAAATGCAACCAATTAAACAAATTGGGGCTATAAGATAAATCTTTCAATGTTTCTTTTCCCTTTATTCATGCAGAAAGTGGCAGACCTAAAAAGTAGAATAGATAAAGCATCCATTCCAGCAGCTTTAAAAGCTGATATGAAAGCAAGGATCTCTCAGTTGGAGGTACGGTATCTTTAACTTTTTATTGACCAAAAATAGTGTGTACCTTCTTTATCGGATCAATCAGTAGCAATTTGTTACTTCATATTATGACTCTGCCATTAACTGTTACTTTTTTTTTAATAGGGACAAATCAGAAAGGACAAAAAGAAAATAGGGGAAGAGAATATTGAAAGAGCTATTGGCATTGTTACCAGTGCTGCAGATAAAGCAGCATCCGAGGGAAAATCTTTTTGTATTTGTCAGGTCTCTGTTGGTCTTGATACCACAGCTGTTCGGGAGGCAGTTCTGAGGATTATGGATCAGAAGGTAATGAGCTTTGCTTCTCTTTCATGTAGGCGTTTAGGCTTCGTAATATTGTTGAAGAGCTTGTTACAAAGGTAATCTTGTGCGCGTTGATATTGTTGCCTAGGCAATGAACGTTTGAAACAGATGTTTTTTAGAGTATTGAATGAACCATGTTTGAAGCTACTGTGCTCACCCTAATACTTTTCCGACATATTTGGCCAGGTTTCAAAGAAAATTTTCCTTTTCATAATTCTTAGTGGCAGAAAATTTAACATATTTGTGACATTTTTAAGGGTCATTAAAAATAGGTTTAATCATTTTTTTTCAATAGGAGGATGTCGAACTTTACCTTACTATACTAATGTTATTATTTAGTTGTTGCATTGAAGTATTCTGTATGGTCATGTTAAGCATTCAAGGTATTTTACATGCGGTGAAATATTTAGTTGCAGACTCCACAGTGTGTTTGTTGTTGAAGGTGCTGTATTTTTGTGCTCACACTTCCCCAGATAAACTATTTTCATTTCTCCTAATTGGATACGATCTCACAATGAAAATAGCTAATGTGATGGATGAGGGAGGCATCACCCACCTGGTGAATATGAAGACATTTTGATAAGCTTCATATTAAAACATCAAATATTTTACTTGTTACTAGTGCCTCAGTTCGATTTTAACTTATTATGATAGTTTGATTAAATAATGGAATAAACTTGAATGCTTTTATAAATCCTTGGTCATTAAATGAACATCCTTGAATTGTTTGTTACTTGGTTCATTTATGATGATGAAAAATATCCCTTAAAGCTCGAGTAAGCTTGTCATAAAGCTCGAGCATACTCTATCAAGAAGCTTGTGAACATGCTTGTTAATAAGCTCGACTTATTTATGATCATAAATAGTATTGTTTAAAAACTCATAAACAAACTTCTTGTTTGATTTTTTTTTATATAGCTATCTAGTCATGCATTACAGTGTTGAGCTTTGTTGCATTAGCTTGTCAACTATGTGAAGGTCTGTTGATATTTCAGATGAATAATTCTAAGTCTGAGTAGGCGGAATTTTGCCCAATGAGATTTTAAGTCTCACTTTAGAAGTGCTAAATAAAAATTATATTCTTTAAATTAGATATGCTTGGCTTGATAAGGCTCGTTTAAGTTGTTAACTGAGCTTTAGTAGACCTTAAACCAAGCTCAATCAGGTATGAAATTAGAATAACCAAGCTTGAATATCATGATAGAAGATCAAATCAAGCTCTTGTTGATTCAAAATTGGATTTTGGTAAACATGCTCTAGCTCAAATAGCCATTCGCTTAACTCGGCTCAGTTCATTTGCAATCCTAAATGAAAATATCAAAACTAACGGTGATTGATGTAAGTAGCTTAAGACTTATAATATAGAAGAGTGAAGTTGTAAATGAAGATGTAATTTCTTGTAAGATTTGGTTTTTAAAATGGAGAAATGCTTCAGGAGTATTATTTAATAAAAGTATATTATTGATACTTAAAAGATAAGTTCTGTGCAACTCTAATTTTGTCAATGATGTTTAAATCCAAATGTTGAATGATGAAAACATTGTTTTTAATTGTGTTGGGTTTGAGAGAAAGAAAAATTTTAGGATGAATGTGTGCTAAAATTAGGAAAGATAACCTAAATAATAATTATATGAGAATATGTCAGAATAATATCTTTTGAAGAAAAGGTTATAAAAAATATAAGTTAGGCGAATTGGACATATGCAAAAGGAGGTCACAAGCAAACCCATGATATGGTTTGATATGATTAGTGTCATTGTTGTGCTCTCAAATACCACGTGGGTTAATTTTGATGCAAGTCGGCTCATCTAATTGGCCGAGTTCAAGTCAACTTGTTAGAGCTTTAATTCGCCAAATGGAAGAAGTTGCCAGGGTATGGGATGATACCGCAGGCAAGTTCAAGTTGCCATAATTATTCAGTTTAATCAGCATTGTCGTCTAGAGAGCCGACTGTCTCTAAGGCTACTTTCCCAATTCGCCAAAGCTATTAGCCCAATGTCTCAAAGCTTCTTGCAAGGGATCAACAATCCGTTGTGAAGTTGGTAGGTAATTTCACATGAACTCGCCCCATAGAAATCAGTATTTATATTCTATCTAATCAAATTGCTTGAATCACTTCTTTTTTATTTTCTATTTTATATTTTTGTGTTTGTGTTTTGATTTGAAATAAAATATATTTGATATGTTCGATTAAGATATGTTTATTTTTTAAAATGCTCAAAACATCTTCATGTTATTTTTAGTGTTTTCAAAAACATGTTAATTCACTTTTAGAAATAGAAAATAAAAATATGTAAAAAGCGCACCAAACAAATGTGTCTTAAAAAAGAAAAGAATATACAAAAGATATAATTGATCCCAAAAAAGCTCTAAGCTTTGTCATGCAATTTTATTTGTGTTATTCAAAGGTAGCATTTTCCTCAGCGTTGAGCATTACCCCAAATTTATAAATAGGGGTTAGAGGGTCAGTCAGACACTTTCATCATTTTTTTTTTAATTTTTGCACTCTTGTAATATGGTGAAATATCAAATCTTCTCATTTATTTTTCTTTTCTTTTGCTTGATCTCTTTTTGTTAGTAAAGCTACAGTTTCACCCACAGACGAAATTTGTTTCCCGTAGGAGGGTTAGAAATTAAAATGATTTGCGAAGCATAAATTTAACACTTGTATAATACCGACATAAAAAAAAATGAAAATGAGGATTCATAAAGGCAATCCCAAATCTAACGATGATGTAGTGGCAGGTTCTTGCAGTGGAAATGAAATAAGCCCAGCGAAATCAAAGCATTCAAAGCCCTACTCAGCCTGGGTTTGACCTTGATTTTTTCCCCCTCTAAAGTACCAAAACTAATTGAGCTCAAAGTCAATACCGCCCCTTTTAGTCAGAAGCTGAAGACAATTTAACTGAGCTTACTAACAGCTCTATGCATTCTTTGATTCCTACTTTATGTTAGAACGTTCTATGCGCCTGGCTCTATTGATAGTTTGCCTCATGCAGTTGTGTACTTTCCAAACTTTTGTTGTATCATTAAGTGAACTTTTATCATGTACTATTTTCCTGCTGGCCTCATTTTCTTTAGGCACCATATGGAGTTTAAATTTCACTTCATAAAAAAGAAAATCTTATTCTGGTCCTTGTTGTTTGTTTCACTCAGGGACTGGCAGTGATGGTATTCAGCACTGATGAAAATTTGAACAAATCTGTGGTGTGTGCTGGAGTCCCTAACAACCCATCTATGAAGAGTCTGGCGGTGCTGGAGTGGCTGACTGCTGCAATGAAACCAATCAGTGGGCGGGGTGGTGGAGGGAAGAATGGCATCGCTCAAGGCCAGGTTAGCGGCGAAAATAGATATGTTTTAAATATTAAATGTAAAGTTTTCGTGTTCCATATGTAAATACATAGGAATTGAGTGGTGTGTATGTGAATCTTCCCTATATATTTTTTGAAAAAAGTTCAGTTCCCTGGCTGAGCTGATGGAATCATGTTTGAATGACAGGGAAATGATGCAACTCATGCTGCTGAGGCTGTGGGTGTTGCAGAGAAATTTGCGCAGATGAAACTCAGCTAGAATTAACATGCTTCACATATTCCCACCTTCTGGAGGATTTTGGTGAGTTCCAACTTAAAAAATCTTATGATTTTAGATTCAAAAGGGTATATTATGCGGTGGCAATATTTATTGTTAGAATATAAAGAAAATATTATTATTATTATTATTCTGTAATTTGTTGTAGTTTTAGCATAAGGCGACACTACTTGATGTCTTGCTCGTTGACAACACAATCAGAACAATGCATACAATCACACAATCATTACACTGTTGCAATTGTTATATTTAAAAATGGTTGAATACGCCCCACAAATTCTTATGTATTTATGTGGCTGACACCCAAAGTTTGATATTTATATTTTTAACACTGATATCATAAACATATGCATAAAAAGATATATTTCACTTTTAAAAAGTTAATAATTGTGGTATTTATGATGTGATGTTAAAGATTTGGGTGTTATGCATGTAAATACGAAGGCTTAGGTTTCCTTTGTCGGACTACTTATATTCTCTGTTGTAATTACATATCCAATTGAGATAGTCATAGAGTCAGGGGTGGAACTAAATTATTCTCTTATATAAGTAAAAGTTTGAATTTGAGAGGGGGGCAATGACCAAAGTGATATTTCAGTAGGAGCAAAATTGATATTTTAGGAGGGATAAAAGACCAAATTGTTCTTTTGGGGGTGTTAATTACCTCTCTTGATTCTATTTGGGTCCGCCCTTGCAAAACAAAAGTACAATATGACTTTGCATTCATTAAAGTTGTCTGATTATAATATATAATTAGTTAATCAAGTGATATATTGTGCATATTGAATTAAATAGGAAATAACTTTATCAAAATGAGGATATCTAGAGTTAAAAAATACTTCTTTAGTTTGCATGGACAACCCTCTGGTATTACCATTTCCATCCTCTCTTAATCTGGACTGATTCTTCCTTTAAATGCTTATCTTGAGTACATTCTCCCTTCCCCGTTTAATATTATCATCATATGAAATTTTATTTTATTTTATTTTTTACTAGATTTACAAACATGCCACACAATTCCTTTTCAAAATTTAAAATGATGGCAATTTTAATGTGATGCGAAATTTTGTAGTGGTATAAATCCAAAAGGTAAAGTTTAGGTTTTGGATATGTAAATTCATAAAATTGGATGGTATGTATATTTTAGGGTTTAGAATTAAGTCCTAAATTTCTATATTATTTGTGTATAAGTAATGACCTCCTTTTTATGAGCGAGGAATAATATAATTGAAAAATGTTTTTTGAGTAAAGTTGCATAACCAAAGACCTTGAGCTCAGTGATATGTTTCCAGCGAAATATTACATCAGGACTCTGGACATAGAGCTACGTTTGGATTTCAATAGTTAGGAATATCTGTTTGTATTACAGGAAAATTCAATCTGCATTATTTGTAAAAAAAATGAAGTGTTATTCGAGTACTATATGGTGTTATTCGATTATTTTGTGGTGTTATTAAAATATTCTCCCGTTTTACTTGATTTGGGGTTGAAGTGTTTTTGGAATATTCTCTCGCGTTACTTGATTTGAGGCTGTGTTATTTCAATAATATGGTGAAAATTAAAATAACACTGGGAATATGTCGAATAACATATATGTTTATATTCCTACTTTAATAATGTACCTTTAAAAAAAAAAACTTAGTTGGAGCGACGTGTATAGCATAATAAAACTACATTATTATAGTTTAGAGACTTTGTAAATATAACATTTGATTGAGATTTAATTATTATTTTCGCCTTATTCTACTGTTTACATTATTACTTGTATGACCTATAATACAAAATAATATCGAGGTGTCTTATTTTACGGTGATTTAGCCTCGTTATATATATTCATGTATATGTGTCGCAAGTCTTGGTCTGTTGGTGGCAGGATCACTGTAAGTCCCTTCAGGCCAAGGGTTCGATCTCACCGTGGCGCGGGGGCTCTAAAATAATAGGCACATGAAGCGGACTCTCATCATGGGGCCTAAATTCTCTTTAATATATTAATATATTAATATATATATATATATATATATATATATATCTGTTTGGACATGTGCAAAGTGTGTTCCGTGCGATCTGTAAATGAGCCATAAAATTTTGACTTTATCAAAATCAGTTTATTTACATCTCCATGCCTAAATTAACTTAGTTTTTATCACAATATCATCATTTTTGTGGCCAACTTCACGCCTTAGAGATATCGTTAATCTAGTAGGCCCAACAAGAAATTAATTCTTGATAATTACATTTATTGACCCTACACTTAATTATTCCCCTTGATGATGGCACCTATAGGTCATATATCAATATTTTTCGTTATAGAAAAGTTGTTATGCTTCTAATATCGGGCCAAGTCAGTGCAGTACTAAACTTTTTAATAACCAACAAGATTATGAAATAATATTGCATCAGGACTCTGCACGTAGAGTTAAGTGTGGAGTCTAATGAAATTAGGTCATGTGAAGGTGACAGAAAAAAAAAATTGGCCCAGTAACATAAGGGAATATTCCCCTCGTGTTATTCAATGTTATGTAGGTGTTATTGTGTTATGAGAATATTCCCGGTGTTATAATAACACAATAGCACATCAATAATACTTGAATAACACACAATAATATCTAAATAACACACAATAACACATGAATAACACGAGAGAAATATTTCTTTGTGTTACCGGACATATTTTTTTTTATCACTACCACGTGACGTGATTTCATTGGACTCCGCACGTAACTCTACGTGAGGGGTCCTGATGCAATATTTTCTCCAAGATTATGCTTAGTTATTTTTGTTTTTATCGTAAATTCAACTGTAAAGTGTTCTTGATTTGGCTTATGAAAATTGAAGATGAATTTTTATGGGATAATAGGAACAAGTTTAAATGCTTATGTTATATCCTAGCTAGCAATATTCTCGTTGTTTACAAAGTCAATGTCCAACCAACACATCACTCAACCCTTTGGTCAATTTCCACTAGAGTCATGCCTTTGGCCAACTTCACATCGTTAAGATCTTTTTTGATGATTTTGAGATTTCTAGCATCTAATCAAGTCTTCTTGAGGAGCCAACTAACAGCCTCCCTCCCCTAGTAGCTAACATTCAATCACCTTTCTAGCATCTTGACATTGTTCTTATTGGTTTCAGAATTGCCTCTTTCTCTGGCTAACTTTATCTTTAGTTTCCATCCTTGTACATTGATTTTTTTATCATCTTCTGAACAACCTAGATTTCATTTACACCTTAGTAAGTCATTCCTTGCAGATCATTCATTTGTAATCTTTTATTAATTTCTAAGTAGCTTTTTCAATGCCCTCATTAAATTGTTTATCAAGCAATGTGGTTGTTTACGTTTTGCAAGTTTTGGTGAATGAAATCATGCAGTATTCAATTTTCAACAGTATTTTGTTGGTGGTGATTATCCATCTATCGATGTCACCTAATAGATATTACCACTGATTTTCCCACTCTCATTATTAATCTCTATGCTAAAAAAAAGAAAGATCTAAGAATAGTTAGGCATATTACCTAATCTAATTAAATATCATGGCAATTAAGGACTACTCCCATGTTATCTCAATTTCAAATAATTACCATGTGTAGCTTTTAATTAAGAGACAATAGAGCCCTCCTAGTTTGATTACCTCTATAAAACTCAATTTTAATTTTTTTTCCAAATTTAAATTTTAAAAAATCATGCTTAATGTCTCAAGTGTTCGCACTCTTTCAAAAGTTAAAATTTTGGAATCCACTTCAACTGTCCTGATATATTGGCACCTTCTTTCTTGGTTAGTCTCTTAGTGTCTAACAGTTGACCAACATATATATGCCACCAACTTTAGCAATAACTAGTTTCTTCTCCCTCTCAATTATCTCATATTCACATATCGTGTAAGGTCACCTGGAGTTTTCAATTCTTTATGGTCATAGCCCCATAGAAGACAATCTTGTTAGCATCATCCTAGTAATGCTAAAATTTGTGCTCGTTTATCCATCTTTTGTTCATTGTGTAGTCCTCGATTTGGCAACCCCTTTTTTAGATCTAACCACTTGAAGTGATGGAAAAGAATCAACAAGTGATAGAAAATTACTTAAGGGTGGGTCTTAGTGACCATCATAGGATGCTAGAAAGGCCTTACCGATAATTTCATAACTAACATTTATTGAACATGCCTAACGACTTAACCCAGACAAAGCTTTTGTGAGTCAATGACTTCAAGTCATCAAGCTAATTTCTCTGCCTTTCATCATTTTTTAAGAAGCTTTCATCACTTAGATGGTATATATATAGACACTTGGAGAAGAGATCTCTTCATCCCTGTTGGGTTACTTATCATCTCTTGTAAGTGATACCTTCAGCTTTCTCAAGTTGACCTTAAAATATCAACCTACTGACTCTGAGCACAACAAAAAATGTGCATTAGTTGCCAAACTACTTCAACCCATCACTTTTTCAAGTGCAATGATGAAGTTTCTCACTAATAATAATTAATCAACATTATCAATCAATGAGTTTGGAGCTCTGACATTTACTCTACTACCTACTGTGCTCTTTAAAGCTGACAACTCCTAGTTGTCTTATAACAGTTATACGGCTTAACCCATTCACGTGTTAATATATACTAATAGTATGGTGTTTACCTTTAGCTTCCATTCTATAGGTTTTTTGAGTATTTAGGTGACTACATTAGGTTAACTACCCACCGCCCGTTTATATGTTATCATCTTCATGAATATGGACTTACTTGAATTTAAATTTAGTTACTTTATTCTTATTATAGAAGTTTAAGAGTTTACTCTATGTATTTTAATTACTATGTAGACATTAAAGGCTAGTATAATACCCTCCTTTATAGTAATATATATATTTTGAACATATTTATGATTATCTTAAGAGTGAGATAGTAAACAATGAGGAAGAATTTGAATAGTTAATGTAGTTTCCTCTTTATAATCTTGCATTCGCAATAGAAGATCATGTCATATAAAGCATATAACAAAACTTAACACAAGATCTATTTAAAATAAAATTTTCAAATATTCTAAATACATTACATAGAACTATTGACTCATTGATGATAATAAATGTATAAATTAAGATTCATCATTACATTTTCACTTTAAAATACGCATCAAAAAAATTTTACTTACATAATATTATGTACAATAATCATGATCATTTAATGGTATCTTATATCACCTATTATGTATCAAGTTCACATCACTAACTCGTATTTAAAGAAAAACCTATTGGCCCACGCACCATCATTTTTTCTTTCTTATGCTTAAAATGTAATAATATGATTGGAGTCAAGCAATTTTCATTGGGATCTTAAAATGTAAATATCATAGCTTAATATTTAAGTAAGATAAAACTAATCATAACTATTTTTTTTTTTTATAAAGTTATGCAAGGCTTATTTTTAAGCCAAGGTTTCAAAATAATAAACTAGATCACCTATGAATCTTAAATATACATATAATATTTAATTCACTGCTATTTTCATTTAGAGGGTACTCGATAGAGATTAGCAATGCCTTCGCCTAATATACATATATGCAAGCTTGATACTTATATTGTCTCCCATACTATAGATTAGTAATTATATATATATATCATATATATATATATAATTAGACTCTCAATCATATCTAAATATACAAATGAAAAAAATGTTGTTTGGTCCATAAAATTAATATTAATAATATTCTTATATGATTAAAATACATTAAATAAGTCAATATTAGTTAGACATATGAATAGATAAAAATTGTGATATTTATAAAATAATATTGTTTAGATATCAAAGATTCAAATTAAAAAAAAAAGAGTAAATAAATTAATAAACATAACAAAACCCCAAACTATGTATGACATTTTTGCTCATAGTTGTCGTCCAGATGAGTTGTCGGCATATTTTGTAAATTGATGGCCCATTCACTTCGTGAAGTGATTGTTTTCTTTCAAATAATGACAGCATTGTTACAACTAGGATATCTACTGCTTTTAAGGGAAACGATTACTAGCCTATTCGAACCATATGTTACACAGAAGATTGAGAGGGGGATCGTCTCCAAGGGAAGTCCATGACTCGAACTAATTTGAATTTGAACCTCTTCCATATTTTTATTTGAACATGATTCAGACATGATTACCTCAAACTTTCGTGGTCATCTAACCAAACACCAATATTTATGAAATTCCTGTAAAATCAATATACTAAGGGTGTCAATTTGGGTCAGCAGGTCAAGTTCGGGTCTGACCCGGATAAGGTCAACCTGAACCCGAGTTTGACCCGCTAACAAGAACCCGACCAGAAATTTCATGTTTATTCGAGTAATGTTTCAGTTTTTGGGCCTGACCCTATTAATAAATGGGTTGAAATCTCTGATTCGAACCAGACTCGAAAAATATTCGGGTCAACCCTAACCCGAATTTTTCAAGTCGAGTTTGACTCAAGTTGGCATGTTAGGTCAATTTTTGACACCTCTAGAATATGTCGTATTTTTGTTGTAGTAAAACAAAGAGTTTCTAAGGAAACTCAATAACATGCAAAATTGATTTGAAGTAATTTGAATTATGTATAACAAAAAATCAACTTTTGTGGGCCAACGCACACGTCTAACAAAATAAAGAGTTTTTATTGGCTTGATAAACATATTTACTCAGAAGATATAAACATCATCAAAGTAATGAACTAACCAAGCAGATTCATCAATCAAAGCTCGTCTCATCGGTGATCCTCGAAATTAACAGAGTAAAAAATGTCAAGATTGACATTAAGAATCAACATGTCACATCCCCATTTATGAGCATTCTGACATCAACATTGCAATCTTTTTATCAAAATACCATGGATAAATTTTAGCACCTAGGCTCATTATTTTCCTCACATGTATAAATGGATGGGAGAGAGGTCCATGAATGGGGCCAACTTTCCAAGTATTTTTTAGAGATCTTAAGCCCTAACTCTCGGAAAAAATATTGCATACTTGCAAATTATGTACTTACAGGAGTGTATGGAGTTGTCTCATCATATGAGTTAAATTATTGTGATGTAGCCCCTCTATCCACCCTTGTAAGTATATAGTTACAAATATTGCAATATTTTCTTTTTAACTTTTTTTTTTTCAAGATATCCTTCATGGCCTTTTATAAAATAAAACACATTTACCTATGACTTTTATTCATCACATGTTGATTATCCTAAAAACACTTCTTTTTCACATGTCATGATGTTATCAGTACCATAATGTCTTCCCAATGAGCGTCAACGCACAATGTTGATCAATTGAATGTTTCTCCTTCATGTGGTTTATCTTACAATGATTTCCCCAACGAGCTCCATCTCACATCGCTCATCTTCATTAACTCTCATTTACATGTTGCTATCCCAACAATGCCTTTTCCAACAAGTTCCATTGCACAACCCCAATGGCACAAGCTCCTTTTCACCTCCACTTATCACAATCCAGCCATGCCTTTGCTTGGAATTCACAAATATACAAAAAACAAAGGAAGCTTTGCATAGATACCCCACCCATTTCCTATATATTTACATAATTAACACAAAAATTTTCATTTGTTACATTTTTGGCACTTATTTATGAAAGAAAAGGTGTCTAGTTTTTAGAAATTAAAATAATAATATTCTAATGTGATGTAAAATAAAAATAAATTTTAGAGTTTGGATTGTCTAGATCTTAGGAATTCCGAGGTATGTATGTAAATGCCCCTATAAAAATAATGTATTCCTTTTATCTCAATATAACATTGATAGAAATTTCTATAACAAAACTTAACCCAAGCATATTTAACCAACCACATTAACCAAATTATCAGTTCTTCAAACGCCAAACAAGCAAAAATATCAAGGAGATTTTGTAAATTAAGATAAATATAAATAAATTTGAAAGATAAATTATAACTCCTTATGTGTGTGTGTGTGTGTGTGTGTGTGTGTGTGTGTGTGTGTGTGTGTGTGTGTGTATATATATATATATATATAAATTAAAGTGAACGAAAATCAAAACATCAAATATATAAATTCCTTTTTATCAAAATATAAATATTTTACTTAATGAAAAAAAAAATTAATTTTTACAATAAATTAAATTGAGGATTTAATCATTCGCACCTAACAAAATAATATGTTTTTAACATTTATTTTAGAACAATGATGAGATTAATCCATAGAATTAAGCCTTAGCTAACCCAAAAAAACGATAATTAAGTCAAACGTAAAAAAATTAAACAAACAAAAGGAATTATTAATTGCAGTAAAGTCAACGAACAATAAACGTAAGTACTTGTTCCTGTATACGCTACCTTTTGGTACATTGTCGTTTAAATCAGTACAAAGTTTCCAAATACCGATTGTCTAAAAGCTCAATTAAACATAAAAAGATGAATTATCCAAAAGATTTATTCATTTATTATTATAACGCAGATAGAAACATACACGAAACATTAAACATTAGATTGCTCATTTGCTATCTCCATTAGATCTATATACCTTCATACAATCCATTTTGTATTAAACTAAGACGACAACAAGGAATCATCTTCCCCGTCGGTAGCAATTTCAGAAAAAAAACATAATTTTTATCTAATGGCAGAGCACAACTTTTTAAGAAACAATGATATAACAGAAATGTCAACAGCGCCCTAAAAACATTTTAAATTTACATCCACTGCCCTTCTGATGGTAGAGAAAACAAAAGACGAGTCGAAAAAGAAAATTAAGAAAATAAAAAAAAAAAAAAAAAAGATGTAAAATCAAACGCTTGCATTAAAAAAAATAACTAAAAACATCTATTTCTTGGCCTTCCTGGCGGGTGTTTTCTTTACTGGGGCAGCCTTTGCTGCGGGCTTTGCTGCCTTTGTAGACTTGGCTGTAGTTGCAGGCTTCTTTGCTGCCGCGTAGCAGGCTTCTTGACGGCCGCCGCCGCCGCAGCCGCTGCAGCCTTCTTCCCCGGAGTATCCTTCACGGAGGTCTTTGCTACCTTTGACGGACGCGTGGTGGGCTTAGCTGTGGTGGACTTCGGCTTTGGCTTTGCAACCTTTGCAGCTGGTTTTGGTTTGACTGCAGCTGCTGGTTTGGATTTAGCTGCCGGCTTAACTTTTGCTGCAGGCTTGGGCTTGGCAGCAACAACAGGCTTCGCGCTTGGCTTTGCAACCACCTTCGGTTTAGCAGCTGGCTTAGCTTTCGCCTTAGCCTTTGGTTTGGAAGCAGCAGCCTTGGGCTTAGTCTTGGCCTTCACAGCCGTGGCCTTCTTAGCCTTCGGTTTTGCAGCAGTAGAAGGTTTCTTAGCAGCAGATGGCTTGCTTGTTTTAGGTTTTGAGGAGGATGGGAGTTTATAGGAGCCTTTCACTTTGGTGAGCTTTCCACTTGCGGTTAGATTACGAAGCTGGACCAGAAGCAACTTTTTGAAATTGGAAGGCAGTTTATCCTTATGCTTGTCCTCGAGAAACTTAGTGATGGCATACTGGCTTGATCCAGATTTCTCCTTAAGTGAAGTTATCGCATCACCGACCATCTAGATTTCGCCCCATTGATAGAAATGGTATCAGATCCGATGCAATTGACAGTTGAAATTCATGTAGAGCAATCAAAATTACCTCGAAATAAGACGGATGAGTGGCAGCGGAGCGCGGCTTGCGAGGAGCGGCAGGCTTCTTTGCCTTCGTCTTCTTCGGAGCAGCTTCCTTGTTCTCTTCGCCGGCCGCTTCCTCCGGCTTATCGGCGGCGGGTTCTGCCGCAGGGGAATCGGCGGCGGGCTCTTCCACTACTGGCTGAAGGGTCTCTTCCGTGGCCATTGAGAATGATTTGGATGTTAGCTGAGGCTTGAATTAGGGTTTCGAAGAGGGATTGAAAGGAGGAGGAAGAAGGCCGGAGATCTGTCGAAGTGATGAACGAAGGAAGAAGAAATCGCGATTAAATACCGAACGGCAGCGGAAACGGATGACACGTGGAAATTTTCCATTCGATGTTAGTCACCTCACTCGGATCCCTCCGTCCAAAGTTTTAAATTATAGCCTTCGGATATTTTCCTAATCAACGGCTGTAAATACTCTTTAATGTAAGGGAAGGATAGTGGACAGAGATTGAAGGATTTGTAGCTGAGATGAGGTGTGCTTTCCCCCTCACTTGTTTGTCAAATAACTTTAGTTATACTGAACCAATTTAAGAAAAATTTAAATCATTTTGAAGCTCTGAACCTTAGCTTTAAAACAAGTCTATAATGGCTTGATTTGGTTGTGTATTAAGATTAATACAGATTTTCTACTAAAATTGGTCATGCACATGGTTTTGTGTGAGTTTGCTAAAGTTTTTGGTCCCTTGCTTATAATTTTGATTGTTTCTTCCTGGTTTTTTTGTTTAAGCTGATAGTAAAGGTGTAGAGGAGTTAGTAGAACTTTGAATCATGAAAAATGGCTTTGAAATGAATATTTTATTGTGAAATTAATGGGGTGGAAGAGACACATCACATTATTTATATTGTTGGTGCTTATGAGAAGAGATGTTGATTGGAATTTCAATTCATAAAGTAATAATTCATGAAAATTTTCATCTTTTGAAAACTTAAATCGATTGTCTTTGTTTCTTTTGTTATATGATAAACCATAAATTGATTAAATTTTACTTATATTTTATTTATTCATTCATTATGTGTTTACTTTTCATAATTTTATGGATTTGAATAGTTTTGGTTTGAAAAAACTTGTTTTTGCATATTCAAATCCCTCTCTAAAATGTGATATTTGTTTATTGGGGATCTCCAATGATGCATATGGCAATTATATTTAATGGATTAAGTGGTTGATTTAATAAAATGGCACTTAAGATATAATTGTGCTAAGGAATTGCATGTGGCTTCATTTAGTTGATGTTTTCTTTGCTCAACTTTTTAAGAAAACAATTTTGTTCATGTGGGAGAAAGACTTGGGTGATACTTAGATAAATGTTTTTCGAAATACATGTATGGAATAATTGAAATGTTGGTTTTTAGTAATTATGAAAGTTATACAGTTGGTTGCAAATTAAATTTTTTTTTTTTTTTTTTTTTTTTTTTTGTGATGCATTTCGAGAGCATTGAAATACCCATGAAATTGGGCATGGGGTGCTATGAGTAGGCAAGGGACGACATTCATAGGTGATGAGGGGTGGCAGATGATGCTCAACAATGATAAATATTGATAGGTTGCTGACAGTATGTTGTGACGAACAGAAATCGCTATTAAAATCATTTACTTTTAGCAATTTTTATAGCGAAAAAATAGTTTTTTTAGTGATTGAATTTGATCCAATTTTTAATTTTTAATTTTATTTTTCTTAAAATCAAACATCAAATAAATTGAAATATAAAGAAAATAGATTGCAATAACCTACTAATATAGCCAATGAAACAATACCTAATGAAATACTATTGTGCATCTGCTCAATCATTACATGAGCACATACACTAATCTATAAAATAGATTATAATAATATATATCAGAGTATAATATTTTTCTTAAAACGTCACATCATAAACACAACATCTAGGCCATTACACGTAAACAAAATATAAAATAGATGCATCACATTTTATGAGTTGGAATAAAAGTGTCATGACAAACCAAATATTATATAATCTATATCCTATCAATAGAAAATGATTTGTTATGTAGAAAATAAGAACAACAAAAGCAATATCACGACTCATAGTATATATATTTGTTTAAGTTTTATTCCGAACATTTGAATTTTTAAAGAATCTCATTTAGCTTTTTAGTTACAATTGGTGAGGATTTTTTTATTTCTTTTTGACAACTAGTGTTGCCCTTTACTTAAGCTATGTTCTAATCAAAACAAAGTTTAGTTGTGGTATAACATATATTCATTGATGAAACTAAGATTTCAATTAAGAGGTGGATTTTTATACAACATGTATAAATGCATGCGAATTTAAGGGTGAATTTTTAGTATTATACATAATTTTATAGGTCTAAAATCAAGGGGGTGAGGAATAACACATGATTGAACTGCTATTTATAAATGCTTGAAGGCACGCATGAATGAACAATCTTGCAAATTTATAAACACATGTATATGCATAAATTTATGTGCAACAATAACAGATGTCAAGCCAAACATGGGCTAGCTTGATTATTAGTTGATTGATCACCTTCGATTCAAACTTGGCACAAGCTATAATATATTTATGTGTTTACAAGCTTCCAATAAAATTCACAACGAAATCAATATTTGCGATGAATGATAAAAAAAATAATAATGCAAGTACTTTTTTAAAAGGTGCAAACAACAACACTTAAATTTATTGAATATATATATATATATATATATGAAAAGCCCAAGGGCTGATTTTATTGAAATTGAAAAGGATTATTTGTGTATGTGCGCGCGCGCGCGCGAGCGTGTGTGTGTTAAATGTGTGCAGAGGATAATAAATCAAAATCTTTGTTTATGTAAGGGCTCATATATATGTTTTTGTGTGTGGCATCATTGTTTATTCTAATCAATCTGTGTTAATTAGTTGAATAAGCAAACTGAAATTTAGTTGAAATTAGAAGTCCATAAACAACTTTTTTTTTTCTTTTTAGACTAATACATGACTACATTAGACGATCCAAAATTTTTTTAGCGTGCATATATAAATGTAATTTTTCATTTAGAACTAAATGAAATATGAATTTTTAATTCTTAAGCCTTGGATTTGCACTTATAGTGAGCTACAACCATTTAATCTATCCTATTATATATAGTTTAGCCTCCTCGTTTATAAAGGATAGGGCATGCTTCCTTATCCACCTAGTGAGATCAACAATTCAACATAAGCTTGAGCCATAATAGCTTTTGGCACAATATATCTACATGTTAAAAAATAAAAAGATAGATAATCATGAGGATGATAGGGGCTTCAAATAGAAGAATGTGAGCTCAAGTCACCTTTGATTAAGATATTGGCTCGACTCAACAGGTAGAATTTGAATCTTGGTGACATGAGTTTGATTTAACTTACAAGTTAGTTCACATTAATACAAAATACAAAAAATTGAAGGTGAACATGGAGTAATTGTAAAAAGATTGGGGAATTTAAGAAGAGAAAAGTGAGTGGTGGAGCTAATTTCTTCAATAATTTTTCATAAAAAATGTAATATATATTAATCATCAAAATGTGCTACTTTTTCAAAATGATTTGGCTCCACACAAAGTATGTAAAGATAAAGTCTAGCATTAACCTTCAAAGGGAAATATGACATACATTAGTTGTGTATTTTGTCCAGGCACAAAATTGCCTTCATCCATGTACATATAGATGTTCCCAAGAAGCTAAGTTAAAGGGGTCTCTTTTGCTCTCAAAGATCTCACTATTTAATGTAGAAAAGGGAAAACCTTAACGTATATGATTTTTGTTCCCATTCACTTTCAAAGAAAACAACTAATTTTGTTTTCTCAAGAAGAAGGGGGTTGTCATGATTACACAAAGTTCATGCTTGACTTTTCTAACAAAATGTGAAAGGTTATTAAGTGCTTTGTTTATAATTTCACTTCCTTAGAAGCACTAATTGTATGCCTTATATAAACATGCCTTAGTGGACTTATGGTTTATTCATGAGCATATTTATCATCTGAAAACATTGTAGTTAAAGTCCACCCTTGCTTCTGTTGCCCACAATAGGTTGTTAATGTTGATTTTGGCAAGTCCTTCATGCTTGATCCTTGACCGGATGGATAAGCTAGTTCAAACCTAAGCTAGACCAAACATAGTTATTCATAGTTTAAGATTATGTGGCTAAGGCTTAACTAAATTATACCTACCTTTAGACTTGACATAGTCTTAACATAGTAGACTTTATGTTCTCCTTCTGAAAGGCCTCGGATCATGTGCCTAAGGCTTAAACTAGACCAAACATTTATTTAACCTTGGTCAGATTTGATTTCATGATCTAATATGATTTTGAGATGTATTATTTCTTAGAACAACATAAGTTTTGATCTTCTTAGGTTTTAGGTACTATAGAATGACTAAGATGCATTACGAAACCTTCCCCCACCATTACACCTTTAAGAGAGTGTTGACATGGACACCTTTTTGATACAATGGCCTGAATCTAAACTAAAGCCCTCAAGTTTGCAATGGCTTAAAGACTTTTTAGATGTTAATAAATTCCCAAGCAAATTGGGCACACTCGTTTGAAAGCATGGCATATTTATTATCTATCATAAAGTCAATTTTTATTTTTTCTTGTCAAATTTGCTTCTCCTTTAAAGTTTTATTTACTTAAGCTACCCTCTTCTTTAGATTAATATCATATTTGATGAGCTCAATGAGTTGATCCTTTATAAATATTTTTACCTTTATTTAAAATTATATTTTGCTTCAGTATTATTTACATGTCCGTCTTAGATTAGTTAAAGGTAATTAAAATTTCTTTTTTTGCATTTTAATTGTATATTATATTTAATTTTTTAAAAATTTCAGTTATGAAAGATTTAAATTGGTTAAATTTAATCTTTACTATTCAAGTTAATGCTTCTTTATTACACTTACATAAACTCTTGTCTAGTAAAGTTATTTAAATTAAATTTTGTTTTATGTATGTCTTCATTATTTGATAGCTAAACATGGGCTTTAAATTAAAATATTTTGTATATTAATATATAAATTATTTAATCTATTCTATATAGGGTTAATTATGTATGTGCTTTGTTGCATTTTTGTGCATCATAAATGCTTGGTAGTGTCATTGCAGCCCTTAGTAGCGCTTTAGTGCCCTTTTGCCCACATAGCATCGCAACCTCCCATCACAGTATCATGACGTCTATAATGATTATATAAATACATCCCTTCACAACTTTTATTCTTTGTGTGATCCAATTCATAACTAATCATTTGGAAGAAGTTTGAGAGAGATA